CCCCAAAACCCCAAAACCCCAAAACCCCAAAACCCCGTTCTTAATATAATTTTTGAAATTAACTTTAACCCCTTCTATAATTATCTGAAACCCTAAAAATCCTTCTTCTCCAGAACAGCTAGATCTGGGGCAGAGTCTGGCCTAGTCCCCTAATTTAGCCGGCGACTAGCCCTTTTAGACCAATGTGGACTTGCTCTGCTTTTGAAGGTTATAAGGATTTCTCTAAAAATTCCAAGTGTAAAAGACCGACTATAATTTATGGGAATATTGATAAAATTATGCAAAGTCTCTTCCTTCTTCCATTTTGGCTCTCATTTTCTCCTTACGTCTCTTTTTAGCAGCAATTTCCTTCTTGATGCCCTTATTGTACAACTTGTTGCCTTCGTCATGGATCCTGATTTTGTAACCGTGGCGAGGACCTGAAGTGGAGAAGTCTACGGCTAGTTTTCGTCCCTTGAATTCAGTTCCATCGAAATCTAAGGCTCTTGGGACAGCCTCAGGGTACTTGAAGTCTACGTAGCCGAAACCTATAGATTGAGAAAGGAGAACATACCTTTGAACACCTTTGTTTGGTAATTCACTGCGAACCTTACTTGATCAATTTCTCCAAATTTCCTGAATTTGTCTCCGACCTGGTCTTCAGTGATGTCGTATGGTAAATTTCCAACGAAAATAGTCCTACATCCTGGTGGAGGTATTTTGGACCTGACTACTTTCTTGACAGACTTTCCTTTGGAAGGAGCGATATCAATGTACCTGTTGCCTATCTTTTGCCCATCAAGGGAGAGGCCATGTTCGTAGTCCTTCTTTCTATTGAATTCAACATGGGAGTAGCCAAGACATCTACCAGTGTCTTGGTATTTCGGAAGCTTGATATCAACGATAGTCTTAGGATTTCCAAGAAACTCTCTGATCTTATCCTCATCGCATTCATAAGGAAGTCCTGAGAGGAAAATTGAGAATATTTTCTCTCCTTTCTCAGTGGTTCCATGTAGGTTGGGTTGATCCTCTTCATCCTTCTTAGCTTTCTTTTTCTTGGAACCTCTAGTCCTTGTCTTTCTCTTTTTAGCTTCTTTGGAGGCAACCTTTTCTTCCTCCTGCTGGGCTTCAATTTCTGACTTTTGGTCTTCAGAGTCTGACATATATTTGTAGTGTTTTTAAATTATTCTATTAACTCAAAATTAATGGGGTTTTGGGGTTTTGGGGTTTTGGGGTTTTGGGG